TTGAAGCCGTCAGAAAGGCGAAGGGTGGCTACACAAAATTTTAGTTTGTGGAATCATTGAAATTCGCCAAAATTTTGACTCATCCCACTTTGACTTTGGATGGAGATATTTTTGTCAATAAATCATTGATTTCCATTATTCTTTTTTAAATGAAAGCTATCCAATAGGACTACAATTGACATGAATTGCGATTGATTTGGTTGAATATTGAAAGAGATATTTTGGGCTAAACACGAAAACCCGACCCATTGACTCACTTTTGGAGGCCAGTGTATTTTCCTGCCAGGCTGATTGCTCGTTTGCCAGATGGAGGCGACCGCCATGCAGAAGTTCATTGAAAGCCCTTTGGGGGAATACTTCGAATGATGGATCGACTTCCAGGAAGATCAAATCGCCCATGGTGTGACTTTCGGCAACGCCAAGCCTTCCTGCCGAAACGCAACACATCGCCTTCAAGAATCGAGAATTTGAGGCCTCTATGATAGGAACCTGCTTCCCCCCAGAGTGTTCGAGACGAACGAAAAACGGTAAGGATCTTAAACTATACATATTCGTAAATACTCCTTCCCGATGAAGACCATTAGTACCTGACTAAAGTCATACGGCATTCATGGAACTCAGAAGCGGAATCTGCGGAATCACAAGGGGGCCATTTACTAATTCCGTTCTAACCAACGTAGAGTAATATTCTGTACCTGCGTTGAAATGCGATAACACACCAATAATATACACACAGGCTTTGAACGGGACCAGGAAGCGGTGCATCCCGGATGCACTGCGAGAAATCATTTGCGAGAACGTTTCTGCAAGTCCCTGCATGCAGATCATAGAAGGTATATACCTGGAGGGAGCATGGGGCAGGGGCGGAACACTGAGATAGAGGTCTCTAGAGGCGGCGCTCACTGGTTGAGCCGCGGTCATTCAGCTGCCATCTTGCTTTGACCAAGGCCGGGCGAAGCCCCTGTGTTCAGTGGTTTGTTCCAGTCCCAGTACCTGTAATAGTCGTTATGCCGTCGTGTGTTGCGTTCGGCTGTGCTTCCAGAGCGAAGAAGGAAGGGAATTTGGATAAGGAGAGGATTACCTTCCATGAGTGATTTTAAGTTTTGATCCCTAAGTTTGCAGCCTTTTTTTACCCATAATTTAAACATTACTTTGTGATGCCTAACGTTATATGAGTACAGGGTATAGTAGGCCTGGTTCTATTAGGCCTCGTTTCTTTCATGCCTTGATAGTGACTCCAAGTCAACCATGCCAGCATGTTGCCTTGAGCAAGAAGTAACCTTTCATTCTAAGCCAAAACTAAGTTTGAAAACCAAAGAAAACGTAACGAGTTATCGTTGACCTTAGCCTGATGATAAATCTATATGCATGAAACATGATGCTCGATTCCTCCACCCACTCATAAGCATGATCTTTTCTTTTTCTGGCCTGATAACACCATCGAGTGGCTGGCTGCAGACCCACTCAACTCCCTGATCTACATCTCAATCCACAGCTACCTGCATGCCTCAACTGTCACCAAGACCTCTTCTATCAAAATCTGTCCTTGCTTGTATATATTCTTTTTCATTCATATTTCCATTTTGTTTAGGGTAGCTTTTGTAAATAAAGATTGTTAGAAAAAAAGAAGGAATTTTGTCCCTAACCTTGCCACAAAAGTTGGCAGGTTCCCCAAAGACCCTGAAAGGAAGCAGCTTTGGCTGCATGCACTAAGAAGATAAGATTTTGTCCCCAGTAAGTGGGCAAAGATCTGTTCCAAGCACTTCACAGAAGAATGCTTTGACTGCACCGGACAGACTGTTCGTCTTCGGCCAAATGCCATCCCCACAAAATTCTCTTTTCCATCTCACTTTCAGAAGGTGAGTTGAGTTTATTTTTGGAGAAGACAAGCATAACTGTGCATCTAAATACATACCCACAATGTTGTAATATTAAAAATATTCCTTCCATTAGACAGTGAAGAAACGTACTTCACGTACATCAACAATGGCCAGAAGTCCTGCACCTGCGGTATCATTCACAGAAGATTCTAGAACCTTTTCCCAAGAGCAACATGATCCACTTTTGGATCACAATTACCACATTTATGTCAGTCCACGTAAGCTGAAACGAAAGCTTGATGAAGTAACTTCAGCACTTGTGGAATCTAAACGACTTGTGAAGGTCTCTGGCCAAAAGTTGTCTCGGCTTCAACAGAAGTCCAAACCTCTCAAGGATGTCATTGACCATTTACGAGATGAACAGCGCTTGAGGGGGGATATCCTGGACATCCTGGAGTCTAACTTCAGTGGGTGCACCCTGAAACTGCTCAAGAGGCAGATGGGAAACAGAAAAGACACCTACTCTCCGACTCTTCGTGCCTTTGCTCTCACACTTAATTTGTATAGCAGGGAAGCGTATGAGTATGTGAGGAAGACCTTTGGGCTCTCCCTCCCTCATACCCGCACTCTCAGTAGGTGGTACCAGCATGTTGATGGAGCCCCTGGTTTCACTGGTATGTTAGTTTCCATTCTACCTGCTTCATTTTTATGCTACCATGTGTCTCATTCCATGATTTGTTCAGGTGAGGCATTCAAGGCTATGTCAGTCAAGGTGCTACAGGACAGAAGATCTGGGCGGGAAACTCTTTGCTGCCTGGTTGTTGATGAAATGGCCATCAGGAAACAAGTGCAGTGGAATGGGAAGAAGTTTGTTGGCCATGTTAACCTTGGCATTGAATTAGAAGATAATTCCCTCCCTGCAGCCAAGGAGGCATATGTCTTTATGATTGTGGCCATCAATGCATCATGGAAGATACCCTGTGGGTACTTCCTCATAGATGGACTGATGTCAGAGGAGCGGGCAAGGCTAGTTGAAGAATGCTTGGTTCCAACACAGGAAGTTGGTGTGAAGGTCAGCAGCTTGTAGTGTGAAATGGCTTTCAAAGTTTTCTGGCTTTCATGTTGTTTTATCATCATCAGGTGATCTGCATGACATTTGATGGGACAAGTGTGAACTTCAGCATGGTGAGAAAGTTAGGAGCTACTTTGACACCAGAGGGCTTATGTCCTAATTTCAAGCATCCATCAGCTGGTTATGATGTGCACATAATGCTTGATGCATGTCACATGCTAAAGCTCTTGCGTAACTGTCTTGGTGAAAGAGGTTTTCTCTTGGACAGTAACAATGAGGTACTGATATTGTTGGTATCATATTAAGTTGCTAAAGGCTTGCTGCTTTGTCATTTCCACTGAGTGATTGTCACTGTGCAGGAGATCCGCTGGTCTTATTTGAGGAAGCTTGCTGATCTTCAAGAAAGGGAGGGATTGGTAGCTGCCAACAAACTCAGTCAGAGGCATACGATGTGGCAGAAGCAAAAGATGAAGGTCAACTTGGCAGCTCAGACATTGAGTGCTTCTGTTGCAGATGCCCTTGACTTCTGTAGAGAAGACCTCCAACTTCCAGACTTCCAGGGTTCCAAAGCCACTTCAAATTTCATTCGTGTTGCTGACAAGTATGTCATGAAGATTAATTCATGGCCATTTGAAAAGTGCTTTGATACAGTAATGATCTACTTTTTTCCTGAAGGTTATTTGACATCCTCAACTCCAGAAGCCCTCATGGAAGGAGCTACAAAGCTCCTTTGAGGCCACAAAACGAGTACCTCTGGAGACAATTTTTGAAAATGGCTAATGAATTCCTTCGTGGTCTGAGGGATGGCCAAACTGGAACTTCTCTTCTTTTGACAGGGAGGAAGACTCCCATCATTGGCTTCCTCATTGGGATCCAGACTGTTGAGAAGATCTTTGATGAATATGTCAAACCACCATCATCACCAATCCAGTAAATTGTCATACCTTGCATGCTAACTTTGAAACCATGAATGGAGACTATTGTGCACCTATTGCATAGGTATCTCATGACTTACAAGTTGTCCCAAGATCACCTGGAGTTACTCTTTTGTGCCATCCGAGGACGTGGGGGTTATAACAATAATCCCACAGCTATCCAGTTTGAAGCAGCTTACAAGCGTCTTCTTGTGCACAACCAGGTGAAAGGCAAGGACTCCGGAAATTGCCTTAAAAGGGATGCCACGGCAATCCTCTATTCCACCAGCAGGTATGATTGACTTGCCCTTGAAGTTTAAGGATGCTTATGTCTCATGGAGTGTGATGTTAGCTGCTCACTGTTTTCTTTCAGGCTCCCAGTACATGATGCATAATAGTCAGAGTTGAGGGAAGCACTGGAGGATGTACAGGAGGAGCTGTACCCTGATCATCTTTACATCTCGTCTGGACCTCGTCTTTCTGAATTTACTGGATATGTTTCAGAGTACATTGCCGGATTTGTGGTAAGGTCTGCATTGAAGAGGGTCACTTGTCAGTCATATATTTCTGGACTCTTCAGTGCTCATGATGAAAGTGTTCTCCTGATCAAGAGGAAGAATAGAGGGGGATTAGTATGCCCATCATCAAGTGTTATTATAGTGTGCACTGTGACAGAGAAGTGCTTACGACAACTAGGAGTTTCCAGCCAAGGCTATGCATCATCTTCACCAGATCTGCTGCTGCGATTGCAAACTCAAGTCATGCGGAAGCTCAATCCAGTTTCTCTCTTCCCATCTCTCCAAGACCATTTTCTTAAGAACCATGCTCTTTCAAGTCACCTCTACATGCTGGTGAAGAAGATAGTGGATATTTATCTGAAGGTACGACTCCATCACATTGGGAGGGAGACGACAGCTCACCTGCAAGGATCTAGTATGCGCCAGAAACTAACCAAGGTAATTCTTTTCTCTGGGCAGTAGTGACCCAACACAGCTACATTGAGCGGGTTGGCATCCCGTGAAACCCCCACCTTTGAGTGGCTAATACAAGCTTATGTGCCTCATACTTCACTGAATTTTACACTTTTTCTGATGACTCTGACCCCTGTCTGTCAATTCCCATGGAAGGGTGTTGCAGCCATGTGAAAAAGTGCTAAAATCAAAAGTAATTTGCAGGTACACTTGAGCTTGGGGGACTGTGGGCCAGGTCTGATTTGAATTAAAATTATTTTTGTTGTTTTCTGCCATTCATTCTTCTTGCTGCTCAAGTCATCATGTTAGTCTTAGGGGAAATTTGACTCATAGTCCAGTAAAAAAAAATTTTGAAGTTCACCCTTTGGAATAAAAATTGATGCCATGTTCTTGGATGGTTCCTTCATTTCAGTTCGATTGGTAAAATTTAATTTCAGCACGATCAGTGCTCAATTCGGTGCTCATGTGGACAGTATTACTTAGGGTAAAGCACCTAGAAATCCCAGAGCTACAATTGCGGCATTTGCGTGATGGGAACATCCCAAACCCCGATTTCTTGAAGGCCTAATATCCTTGGGTAAAGAGACTCACCAAAGTTATCGGCAATGAATAAAGGTACCTCAAACGAACAATGAGTTGGGCTAGGAAATCCAAGTTTCTCGTGGACCTTCCTAGAGAAACAAAAGCACTCCTATAAGCCGCCTACCTCATGCATCCCATGGTCAAAGCAATATGGCGTCCGGAGGACCGCACAGCCTCGCAGGTCCGCAATGGCTGCGCCACCTCTAGAGACCTTCTATACCTCAGTGGTGGAAACATGGGCCTTGTGAACGGCCTGGTTCACATGGTGTTGGGGCCACTGCCCCCGGGCGGATGGAGAAAAAGGGGCTTCGACCGCTGCACGCGGCCATGGATAAGACCTCTCTTCCTCCGAGCAAGAAAAATATTGAAGATGAAGCGGATTGACCTGCCTTCGCTCCGAGGCAGGTATGATACTTTTCCTCCACCGGAGGCGAACCACTTTGAAGGTTTTCTTGTCAAGGAAGGGGGAGAATATCGGAGGACTATCTTCCTTGTCATCTTTGTTCCCCTTCGTTCCAGACTGCATGTCTGCACAGATGCCTGAAAAAATACGAATACATTTCCTCCATACCATTCTTCTCCGCCATCGTTATGGCCTCATGGATTGAAAGAGAAAGTCGTTCAGAACGATATTTCAAATGGCGCATGGCATGCTAGCATTGTTCTACAGAGTGTTCGTGTCGATCCCCTCAACGAAATTCCGAAACGTCCTGTAATCTCATGTAATTAATGTGTTAAGGTTCCTCTGAATAAATTTCATTCGCATAAAAATTATGGAATCAGTATAATGCAAATATTTGTGGCTGTCACCCCTTTTTCTGTCTAGCTTGAGGACAAGGAAGGGTAAAGGAAGAAACTGCAGGAAACAGCTCCGCATTCAAGCCTCCTTTATTCATTTTCTCTGTCCTTTCCCGCGCTAGTCAAGCCGCCAACCCCCCGTGGCAGTATTATGAACTCATACCGGAATGAAGCCGATCTCTCTATTTTGAGGGAAAAGAGGGAAAACCAGTTCCCCTTATCTCGCTTCTCCGAATTCTTGAATTCAACCTCTCTTCCGATATGAGAGCGGGAGAAAAAACGGTTTCCGATCTAATTCGAGTACAAGCGGGAAAAAGCGTCAGGAAAGGAGCCGCAAGCAATGCCTCGATGGGTGGTTGCCGGACAAAATGGTCACTGCGGTAAAAATTATGACAGCTCATCAAGGGATAATAATTTCAATAATTGTATCATCTACCCATGACAACCTTCTAAAATTTGTTTGTTTTTTTTGCCTTGAAGGTTGAAAGCATTGGGGACCATGATTCAATGAAATATTTATTTATACCTTTTCATCATATGTTGAAAGTGTTAAAGGTTCACCCTCTTTCTCATTCGCCTTCCTCTATCTCGCCCATCCTCCTCTTGCATCCCAATTATTAAAAAATATTTTAAAAATACTTATTTTATTAAAAAAATATTTTCAAAAGGACCATTTTATCCCATTCCTCATTTAGTACCAAGACGTCCAGGATTGGATAGACAATATGAGTAAAAAGAGCAAACAGGAAATTATTCCGATTCTACGCTAGCCAAAACGGAAGGGAACATTCGCTAATCCCCTTCAGGCTGAGGGAGAGCGGGAACATGGCCTTGTGAACGACTTGGATCGCATGGTGACGGGGTCGCTACCTCCGGCGGACCTAGATAATGGCTTAAGATTCGACCGCGTACACGAGGCCATAGGTAGGACCCATCCTCCACTCCTCCGAGTAAGAAGGAAAAGGATTCAAGGTGAAGCGGATGCCCTCGGCATCGCTCCAGGGCGGGTATGAGCGGTTTTGCTCCATCGGAGAGGTGCCCACCTGGCTCCTGGTTTTCTTGTCCAGACAGGAAAAAAAATATATCCGAGGTCGATCCTCCCTTTCATTTTATCATAGCGTTCAAAAGTTGGGGAGGACTTTGACTCACAATGTAGATTGGATCTAGCCTCTGGAGGAGCGACCTATTAGCAGTCTAACGGTATGGGTCACTCGTAGGATTTAGGCAAATGTGAAATATGCAGGGAAAGCATTACAGCGATATTTATTAATTCCCCCCCTCTCCTTTAATAGTGCCACATGCCATGCAACTCAAACGAAAGATTCCAATTTTTAGTTCATTCATAGTCATTCAAAAACTCGGAGGCGTGCGCGTGCCGGTATTCTAGTAAACGCATGTGGAAAAAGCAAGGACCAATGAGCCGTGAGAGATTATGCTTGCTAAAGTGCGTCTCTTGCTTCCTACACTCGCCTCTTGCATGAAGGAGAGGCTGGTGCGAAAACGAGGAGGGTTTCACGCGCATTCTCCCCCCTCTCTCCCTCTCACGCGCGTTCACCACCCATGCACGTAAGTGCAGAGATCAAGGAGGGTTTGTATATATGCGTCCCTTGCCAATCCGGGTATGAGAGGCCTGCACGGGTCGTTTTTTCGAGCCCGACCCGTTCGGCCTGATTCGAATCATGGCCAACGCACGACCTGAAACTGGATCACCGACCGAACTCTAAGGGCCCAACTAGCAGATCGCCCTCTAAGGCCTCTAAGAGGCCTCTAAGCTCGAGAATTCCCTGGTCCCCAATGAAGGGTTCGCCCTCCTCCAACCGGCACCTAGATTGCCAATCGAACTACACTCCCTATCCGTGGGTCAGGTAGAATCGATCGAACCATACCATTTCCTATTCTTCGTCCGTTACTCGTTCGTTCGAAATTCCAAGGAAGGGTCTCTCTCGAATGGGAGTTCCCTCCTGACGGAACGCATTCTCTATTTTCAATTCAAAGCATGACTGCGAGAAATGCAACATAGCAACTTGGCAACTCCCAAGCCCAGCACGTCTTCGCTGTGAAGCAATTTCCTCGTGAAGCAACTTTGCAAAGTGAATGTCCTGAATCATCAAATATGCATAAATATATATAAATTAATAATTATGAAGCTGCCACCTGGGTGGCTTTCCCCCGCTTTTTCAAATCTGGGGATCTTTTTTCCGGGTGGCTTCTTTCGAACCCCGAAGAAAAGTGCTTCGAAAGATATAGGCATCAGACTCCAGAAAGAGTCACCACACTGTCATATACAAGGTGAGTCAAAAGTCCCCTCCGCTCTTTGAATGTTAATAACTTTGGCATGCCTGATCGGATTAAAATGCAGTTTGCACCATTCGAAAGACAAGACAAATCTCTATCTATGGGCAGGATTTCATTTTATTATATTCATTATGTAACAATTGGGAGGAAGTAAATAAAATATCTCTTTTTTGGTATTTAAACGCGTTCATACTTGAAACCACGTCTGCGTGCTGGTTTGATTGAGTGTCTGATGAGCTATGTCCTTTGTGATTGATATCCCTGGAACACTTACAGGAAAATGAGCGAGAAACGACTGAGTGTTGATATGGGAGTTGCAATTGTTCGCCTTTATTCCAAATTCGACCAGAACGCAGCGGAAACCGCTCGACAATTCAAGAGGAAATTCAATGGAGAAACTGTCAGCCGGAATTCGATCGTCCGTATCAACTCGAACTTTGACAAAACGGGCACAGTCGCTGACCTTCCCCGCTCTGGACGCCCAAGGACAGGTCGTTCTGAGGGAAATATTGTTATGGTCAGCAATAAGATTTCTCAATCGCCTGGAAAGTCAGCGCGACGCATGTCAGCAGAGACTGCAATCTCTCAGTCGTCGGTCGAAAGAATTTTACGGGATGATCTCAAGCTGAAGTCGTATGTTCCATGTCTTCTTCAAGAACTTTCTGAAGACGACTTCGACAGGCGTGTGGAGTTCGCAGAAGAATGGATTCGACNAATGGCAGAAAGGTCTCCGACATCTCGTCCCAAGGACTCCTCCATGGACCATCCTACTTCATCCGCGAGTAAATGTGTCTATTTGAGAATGAACATGTAAATGCATCTATATAGAAGCGTTTGCTTGTGCCAACATAGTTACGCATATAATTATGAATGACTCGCATTAAAATTAAATGACAATGTGCCTCATGAAAAACTGAAAATAAGCGGCCTTAATTTCATAATCTTGCAGTCATGCTCCCTCTTCCCTGTGTTTGCATAATGATGTGATGCCATATTTTTCTGCGCAGAGTGTGCGGTTTTTAATTTCACCAAGAAGTGGATACACTTCACATCCAGAGACAAGAGTATCATCGTCATGGTGAGCGAGAACAAGAATGACGGAGGGCACCCCTTGAAGATCAAAGGGAACAAGGAAGAATACCCGGGCATCAAGGCTGCGAAACCCCACAAGAATCCGAGTAACATCGAGGTAGGGTCCATTGCACCCCTCAGGAGTCTCGAAGTTAACACATTGACCGTCACCATTTTTGTTATTTGCACACCATATAAATGTGAAAAAAAGTATTTGAAAAAGTATTAATATCTGTCTTTCATCTTTTTTATTCAGTCCCAGAAACTCAGAAAAAATAAGAAAGCAACTAGTTATATTCAGGACTCCATCATGCAATGTTAGAAATCAGCAACCGTGTGGTATTGTTCAAAGCATAGCACGAGATATCTCGTACTTGGCTGTCAATGTGTTAAGGAGTAAAATCGCTGACCATTCTCTTTACCCAAGAGATATCGAACTTTAACATATTTCGGCGATTTTATTTTATATTAAATTTAAATTAAATAAATTCGCGAAATAGCTTCTCCCCCTCGCTTCTTGCTCCAGAAGGAGTGTTATGAATTAGAAATAAGAATGTGTAGTTTTTATACTGTCGTGCCTTTGGAAAGTGAAATCCGCTCAGTCTAATTATATGCCCTTCGGGGAAAATTTGGGTTTGAAGGGTCTTCGAACAAAGAATTTCGGCCATTTTTATTTAGTTGGAGTTTGACGGCAGGATGGACACCGTGGCATTCCCCGTCACACGGATCTGTACGAAGACCAAGATCACAAAGCTCATCATTGGAGAGTATATGAAGGAAATGACAATTTCGCGGTTGGTGCAGGGGATAAACTTAATGATTTCGAATGTCAGAGATGGAATTGAACGTGAATCGGGCCAGCGCCAAGGAGATGGAAGCCAGTTTGTATTCATTTCCATATAATTTACCTGATTCTCATGAAAGTATGTGCTGCCGCCATGAAGATGATTTTATTTTAACAAATTTGATTTCATTCTCAACAACAGGATCAACGCCATTACAAACCCAGCCCTATCACGGCATTCTACGTCTTCTGTATCGGGATAAGAACTGCAGTCCACTGAAGACCACACGAGAAGTGCGCGGAAAAGGTCTTGGCTGGCAGAGAGCACCCAACAACAGTGGAAGAAAACGAAAACGCCACCAGGTGAAGCAATTCTGAACCCAGCAATGCTGGCAAAGTGCTATTTTGGTGAGTCATTTCAGTATATTTCAGACTTCAAGTTTCTTTTTTCTAATGACTTGGAAGC